AGTCCATAATACAATATTCTTTACCATCACTGTAATTCAAATGCTTTAATTCTTCTTCAGTCTTCCTCATTCAATATCCAACTTTCACATGTATATGAGGCAATACAAAATACCATGTGTGCACCTTAGTTCTCAAAGTAATATCCGCATCTTCATCATTTTAAAGAGGTCTTGTGCAGTAGATTACCCAATACAATGTGCCATATTTCCTTTTGACTCTTGCTTCCATGAGCACGGGTTGTGAACCAAAATAATATGAAATTGACTTGTAAGGTACAAGCTCTGCATGTAAATAAAGCTTTTTTTAAAGACACAGATTTGAAGGATAGGAATGAAATAATTGCCTTCAAATTAATTAATTTTTTTTAAGTTCTAAATAAGCTATTAGGACAGATTATTTTTGTCTTTTCAGAGAAAGTTCTGTACTATTACTTTTTTAAAGGTAAAAATCCTTACGGAGGAAACAGTGAGCATAAGCAGATCAACGAGGAGTCAATCGTTGTTCCTTCTCGGAAAGTGGAGCCAGGGGCTTTGGTGGTTAGAAGTAAGCCACTTATTCTGTTTTTGTTGTTTAACTTTATTTTTATTAAATTAATTCATGTAAAACAACAACTGAAGGTACTGGAGCAGTCTGTGCATTGTGATTACTTCAAAATGACCAACAAAGGTAGTATAATCTAAATTGTGGACAGACCAATGTGAATAAAGACCAGAAAAGGTATAAACAAAGCAAGGAGGAAATCAGCTAGAAAAATCTTCATAAAAGGCAAGTTTATATGCTTGATATTTTGAGACAGCAAAAGAAGTGTGGGGTCTCAGACTATGAATCAGAAAAAAAGTTTTCCAAATTTATTCTGTCGATTGTGATTCCAAAGAGACGATTCAAATTCACTTCCTCTGTTCTTGCCTATATGTGTATCTAAAGATCCCAGGCAATACCTGAGATGGAACTGACTCAACTGTACTAATAGAAACAAAATATATAAAACAAAGTTCAGAAGACTCTGAAAGGTAGACACAAGATAGGACAGTGAAGAACTTCCAAACATGAAGAATTACATGAGAGGAAAAACATATGAACTTTCTCTTTGCCTCATATATCCCAGACTGAGATACTAAAGAAGTCAACACACAAAAAAAGCACTGCTATCAATTCGATCCCGCTCCTAATGACCCTAATAGGACAGCCTAGAACTCCCTCATGAGCTTCTGAGGCTGTAAATCTTTAAGGAAACAGAAAGCCTCCTCTTCCCCTCTTGGAGAAACTGGAGGGTTCAAACTGCTGAACTCACAGTTAGCAGCCCAACACATAACCCACTACAAGACAGGACTCCTTCTGAAGAGGCCAATAACCTAGAAAAACCAATGTACATACACACACACAACCAAATGGATACTTACTCGCCAACTACTATCGAGTCAATGCCTACACATAGCAACCCTAACAGAAAATATTACAAAGAACTAAACAGGAATTTTCAAACTAAAATATAAAACAAAAAGTAAAAGCTCATAATATATACCCAATTGCAAAGTATAGATAGAAGAGGAAAAAGTCAGAGTACTTGAAGATAGAACAATGAAAATTATCCAGC